TTCTGCAGAGGTTGATAATCCTCTATCTTCCTTTCATTATGTTTGCGTCTGATTCATATTAAAATAATATTAGAAAAATTCAATTCTTTGTGACTATGAAGTAATAAGTAAAACTATGCCGCGAGGTGATTTATAATTACAGGATGTATCTATATCTATTTCAGAGCAGTTTTTCAATGGAAAATATGCATAATAATTGTGTACTTCACACACAAATTGATTGCTCATTATTTTTTCTCTTTTCTGCCAATATTTGCGCCTCCTGGAACAAAAATATGTCAATAATAAACAGTATGTCACAAACTAAATCGTTTCACGCCATCTGTTTTTTTTTCTACGAAGTCTCGGTTTCTTTGAGAATGAAAGAGCACGCTTTGGTTTAGTTATTACGTTGATTTACGATTGACTGATGAAAATTTCACTCTTTGCTCCTAATATCGAATGTTTTAAGTCGAAAAATTTTCAAAAAATACACCTAATATATGCTTCACTCGCTCTTTAAATGTGGTAGATGAGATTTTACGGATATTTTCATTTCCAATTTTAATTAGCATTTTCGATTAACACTTTTTTTTGATACTAGGAAGTATCGGTTGGGACGCGGTAAAATTGATAAAATCAAGAACTTCAATGATCTTTCATTATTAGTGTCTGCTAAGTAAAATTTGGGTGTCTTGTTTTGTTATGCCGATGCTTTTTTTAACGAGTTGGTTTTTGTGTCTTTTATTTTTACGGAAAATTTTTTTTTTCTATTTCAATTGTAGACTTTTCTTGTTGCCTATCTATCAAAATTGAAACAGTTGCTTGTTGGTGACAATCTGCCGCTTAGTTAAAGAAGTGATGGTTAAGTATGAATACTTCTTGTTTTTGTGACATCATCCAGTACCTTGTCTATGGAATGGGTGCATTTCTAAAAATAGAATCCGTGGTTCACCTCTGATTCTCCTGTACTATACAAAACTATTTTGAATTTCTATTTTTACTAGGGCTATATATGTGCACAGTAGCACATAATCACATTTGTTCTTTTTTTTCTACATTAGTTTGAATTTTTTACCTTTAAATCTTTGCATTTTTTCGTATATCGTGAGACCATGACGTAAATGAATTACAAAATAATTCAAAAACACTGAGTTACAAAATAATTCACTTTCTACTAGTTTCTACCAGGGTCTACCAGGGTCTAGGGTCTACCAGGGTCTACCAGGGTCTACCATGGTCTACTAGGGTCTATCAGGGTTTCGCGGTACCCACATCGAGAGAGACGTGATGTAAGTCGTTTCGCGGCACCCACAACGAGATAGATGTGATGTATGTTGTTTCGCAGCACCCACATCGAGACTCTAGTAGACCCTGGTAGACCCTAGACCCTGGTGGACCTTAGACCCTGGTAGACCCTGGTAGACCCTAGACCCTGGTAGACCCTGGTAGACCCTGGTAGACCCTAGACCCTGGTAGACCCTAGACTCTGGTAGACCCTAGACCCTGGTAGACCCTGGTAGAAACTAATAGAAGGTGAATTATTTTGTAATTCATTTACGTCATTCAGTGTATATCGTATATATTGCTCATTTACGAAAAACGGATAGGGTGATATTTTACAGGATGTTCCAAAAGACCAGAGGAAAAGTAAATTTGAATATCTGCATTATTTGGCAAGCTTAACCATTGGACCCGATGTGAGCCATCGATGGCTCACGGCATAAAAGTTGAGTATTGCCACTGTATTTTAACCAAATGAACTGATTTTATTGTTGATGATAGAAAAATGTTTAACGCTTTTATTTATAAGAGAAATATCAATAAAGACCATGTTCAGATATTATAGTTGGTTCTAAGAAGAGAAAGTAGCCGTATTCAATTTTCGAAATAACACGATTACATTTGTATTGATTAAAGTCTCTTCGGATAAGTAAACTTGTATAAATGTAGCAAGTGTTGACGACAAATTGAACTAATGTTTATTTCAGAGTATAGAGGAATGTTCCTATATAGTATAATATATTTTAAATAAAACAAAACTTATTGCAATTCAAAGTTGTTATGCATCTACAGAATTTTTTCAAAATTTGTAGATCACGTTTTCGTCTTCGAGCTAATTCCTATACATTGACATGGTGTTTAATGATTTTTCTCTTATAAATAAAAACGGTCAACATTTCCCTACCATCAACAATAAAACTAGCTTATTTTATAAAAATACAATAGAAATGTTCAATGAAAAGTCAGATTAGTTATGAAGATTTTCTTGAACAAAAGTGTGCATTTTATAAAATATCAATTTTTTGTGTCTGGAGTGCCCGCAGAATGTCGTCAGATCTTTTTCTCTTCATTCCATTTCTGTTCAATGTCAATACATCCAACAAGATGAACTAATAACAAATTATCATAGTTTGTAACATGACTTCACCAGATATAGAATTTTTTTTTTCTGGTATAGGAATATGTAAGAGAGTTTAAAGACACGAATATTTATAAACTAACAATGGACAAATATCACTTTCAATGCTCTCTATATCATGTATAAACATGTTTCAAATGTACCTAAAATAACGAGAATGTCTCGATGAATCAGCATGCTTTTCATACCCATTAGATAACTTAATAAGTTACTTCTGATGAGTATGAACATCATGCTGATTTATCGAGACATTTTCGCTTTCTGGTACATCCAAGTATTACTACATGCGATAAAGGATCCGTTGATAATGGTATTGACTATTTTCGATAGAAAGAAAATTTCTCGTTTTCATTGGTTCATATATCTATTATGAAGAGTCAAACCTTTAAATAAATATGATATTTATGATCAAGACATGCTATTCTATGTAGTTCTCAGCAACACAAATCAAATAAAGAGACAAGAAATTTCAGAAAACTCCTGAGAGTATCCTAGACACAAAAAAAAACAATTTTTTTTAAATAGAATACATACTAGAGTTCTGAAAACCTTTAAAATCGATCAGACTTTTAATTTGGAGATCGATTTTCTTTTCTGATTGCGTCTTAAGCAAATTCTTTTTGATAAAAGTGATATAACTAAGATGAAAAATTAGCAAAATATTATTATTATGAAAATAGCCTTTGACAATATCAGATTGGGAATATTTCTATAGATCAATGACTTTGTCTGCCTAAAACTATTATCACTTGAGTTTAGAATGATTGTACATCTAAATAATCAAGACATGTGTTTTTTTACAATTTCATTTCTTAGAACGTTTAATCTAAGCATAAAAAACAATTGTTATGAAACGGTTCGATATCTAAGAAAAATCAATATTTTGTACATAATATAGTTGATATTAACGCTATGTACCAATCTTATAACACTATCTTAAAGAAAAAATACATCTACACATTTACGTCCTATAAGAACAAAGTCAGAATTAATTGATATGTCCATTAGAATGAGATGAAAAAGCATCGAAGGTTGACTTTTTATCTGATAACATATTAGACATCTTCATTGATATTATCATAGAATATCGATTGTAATAGATAGAACTATCTTCCTGTCATAAACTACCAGTCTATCTTTATTTTGTGTCTTCAGAAGTACAAGAGTCTACTCGGTGTCTCGACACCTCCTCAGCACCTGGTAGCTAATTTGGGTGTTGAGGGCAGCACTTACTCCCTTGGGATAGGAGTCAATACATTAACGAAGAATACATAGAACTGTCGAACTGTAAAATGTATAGATGTGGCCTTGATCTACAATTATAGATTTCGATTCGAGCTGTTCGTTTCGCTATCTATAAATCGAAATCGATAGTGTGCTCAATGAATTGTAAGCTTGCCAAGTTTGCATTCGAAGATTTATCATGTTAATCTTTACATGAAAGCGGCCTTGATTCATTAGTGATATGTGCTCTACAATGCTCTATGCAACGATAAAACCATAAGTCTCTATCATTCCCTTCTGAAGTTATAAGCATTCTTTCAGAGTGACTTTTTTTTGTTAAATGGACAATAGATCATCAAAGAGAAAGGAATTACTTCTAATAAATAATATAATATCAATAACAGAAAGAAATCAATTTATACTAGACTGAAAAAAAAAAGATGTTCGAAATTGTTCAGATAAGGAAAGAAAGAGGAAATTCTTCAGGTTTTTTACATAAGAACATGCAGAAAGAGACTGACGGTATAAACGAATAACGTCTTTCTTACTCTTCGATAAAAAAGTATCTTTCTTGCTATTTGTTTTTTTTCTGAAGTTTTATAAGTTTCTTTATTTAATCTTAGCAAACTAAAATAAGTTTATATGATCATTTGACAAAAATGACTATCAAATCGAAATATCTCCTTGTTGTTGACTTGATTTAATCATTTTCAGTTCATTGATTTTTAAATAGTTTTATTCAAAAATCGTCTTATATATTGAGAATATTATACATTTTATAATCTATATATCCTTGATAACCATTTTTTTCAATTATCTATATATATATATAATGACATAAGATGATAAAAAACTATTAGGATACTTATTATCCAGATAGACAAGTTGACAGAAGAATAAGTCTTTGAAACGCTTTACTTTGAAATCTACCAAATCTGTTTGATAAATTTCTTAAAACAGTCCAAGATGTTTTCTTACATTTATAGAAATATCTACCGTTGTTATTTTACAGGAATCTTATATATATATTTACAATTCAAGGAAAATGTTGACTCGTGTTACATTAACAAAATCATGAAGAATTATTTATTGTTTGACAAAAAAAAATAGATGTAGAAAAAATCGACACATGAAGGAAAACTTTCTTTTATCTGACAAAAAAAAAAAACTTGACAAAGAAATTATTTCTTGTTTAACATAGCAAAAATACAATGAGTTTTATCTGAGAATAAGAATTTGACGAAGAATTTTTTGCGTTTACACAGTAAAAAAATTCGATGAAGAGACTTTTCTTTTTTTTTTCTCTTCATACAACAAAAGACATATGTGGATATATTGTTTTGTTTAAGAGAGAAATATGGAGATAAAGTAAAATTTATATATTTTCAACTTGATCTAATATTTTATTGATAATACAACGAACGGCATCGATTTGTTCATTATTAAGCATTAGAGATTGTTGATTAAGTTGTAGATCCCGTTGATTAAGTTGTTCAGCTTGATTATTAATATATTCATTATACCAAAACTGATTGTAAGCAATAACTGATAAATATCCAGCATGAATATTATCTAATCGATATTGTATACGTTGTTCTTGTCGTGTTTCACCATTTGGTCCAACATTCTATATAAATAAAAGTCTTTTGTTGATGGCAATTAAAAACGCAACTATCTTAGTATCTGTTCGTAAATAACATAACTACCTATTGAGAATTATCTTCTTCTCAACAAGATCTTCATCTTCATCAAGATTAAAAAGAAAAAATTTAATGAATCTTCAAAAGTCAGATTTCCTCATAAAGAGAAAGAGAAAGGAAGTCAAGTTAAAAGTTGATTTTCAATTGTAAAACAGTCTATCGTGTTTTGTTGAATAGTACGCGGCATCATATAGTTCATAACAATGACAATAATAATAATAATCCTCATTGACTAACAATAATTCTATATCGATTTGTCAGGAATGTCAATATATATTTTTCTGTTATTATGGTGAAAATAAGTTCAGTATAAGTTATAATTCAATATTTTCCGAAGAGTTTCTTATTGGAAATTAGTATTAATTTTTCCACTAAACACTAAATATTTGTTCTTGGCAAAAAAACGAGTTTCATTTATCATGATCGATTTCTCATCTCAGAATGACCAGAAAAAAAAATGTTTGAAATTAATTTGTTTTTGGATGATGAGATGCAAAAATCACATTTCTGATTAAAATTGCAAAAAAAAGTCGAATTTTTCAGGATTGAAAATCTTTTGTTATTGTAGGGTACTCTTTAAGGTTCTTATTCAATTATTGTCCTCATGCAACTTGATAATACCATTCAAAAAAACAGACGACACGACAGTGATGTGTACATTTACTTTTTCAACCAGAGCTACATTAAAGAACGTTGTTTAAATTCAAGCTTCGCGCACTTATACGGCCGACAAAAATTTAGATATTGCCTCTCTTAATCTCATGTAGTAGGAAAAAAAAATTTCCATCGAATAAATGGCATATAGACTTTCATTTTCTTTTGAAAAATAACTTAAATAATAAATATACTCTTGAAAACTGTCAGAATGAGATTGGTCAAATATTCCACTATAATTAATTTGAAATAACATAAACAGCGTCATAAAATCCATAAAAGCTACAGACAATTTGTGAGGTAAACATTGCTTTCTAGATGTTATCGAAAAGAGTCTCTTTCAATGATTATTGATGAAAAAAAAAATCATATTATCGTGAAAATTCTAATCGTTTTCGAATTCTACAATTATTCAATTAATCATAAAACAATTTCTTTGTTCTACTTCCCAGGACGAGCATTACGATTGCCGTAAACGATCGTATACGACGTCGTATTCGATCGTGTACGGTCGTATACGGTGTAAATTACGATCGTATACGACCGTATTTCGTCGTATTACTTGACACCAGATTTACGACCGTATATCGTCGTGTCGTATACGACGAAATACGACCACCGTAAACGATCGTACACAGTCGTATACTATGTGGATTGTCACCGTATTTCATTCAAAATTTTGCTACCTACCCTCCCCCTCTCCCAACTCTGCAAAGATGGACAAATTAATCTTTGGTGTGTCCAGTCTGACTGGAGCTCCCAGTTCTTATTTCTCATGCAGCTTTGATGATATATCATCAAAGCTGCACGAAAAACAAGAACTTGAACCTCCAGCCAAACTGGACATCCCCATTCCATTACATTGATACTTTATGATTTTATTTGTCCTTTTGATAATCTAAAAAATAAAAAATAAATTTATTTAATCTAAAAAATAGAAGTTAAAGTTGATCTATCTAAAAACAAAAGAATAAAATTCATTTAATCTAAAAAATAAAATTGAGATTTTATCTAATCTAAAAATAAAAAATAAATTTATTTAATCTAAAAAATAAAAGTTAAAATTTATCCAATTTGAGAATAAAATTCATTTAATCTAAATATAATAAAATAAGATTTATCTAATCTAATAATAAAAAATAAAATTTATTTAGTCTAAAAATAAAAAATAAAATTTATTTAATCTAAAGATAACAAAATAAAATTTATCTAGTCTGAAAATAAAAAATAATATTCATCTAATCCAGAAAAAAAAAGAAAATTCATCAAATAGTAAATTATTTATACAATCGAAATATTAGTATTAGATATAATCTAATGTATAATTTACTATACTAATGCTGAAGTCAACATTAAAAAATAAATAAATTGATAAAAATAATGATTTCAGACTCATTCAAAACTGAAGATTTAATATCATCTAACTAATTTCTATTGGATAAGGAATATCTCTCTCTACTTCATGAACGAATTACTCATTGACAATAACGACTATACAGTGTAGTACTATCTGAATGTCTCTCTATCTATATAGCTAAATATTAGATGAAATGAAAACAGACTGTATAAAGTAAGAAGTATTCATCCTTTTACTGCTATAAACTGATTACTTTATGTAAGACAAAGCTCATATATATCAAATACGAGATACCTATCTTATGTTAAGAATTGAGTACTTAATGGAAAAAGAATGCAGATATACATACATGCATACAAAATAGACAGGCTATGTCTGCTGCCGTTACAGATATTATTACTGAAGAGTAATATCTCTGTGTTCAAATCCATACTTCATCGAAGAAAAAACGTCGAACATAGTTTTAAATAAGGAAGAAATGTGTTTTGAGCACCAAGAAAAGAGTGAAATGAGCACCAAATTGATTATATGTGAAAAGAGCACCAAGAAAAGAGTGAAATGAGCACCAAAATTGATTATATGTGAAAAGAGCACCAAAAAAAGGGTGAAATGAGCACCAAATTGATTATATGTGAAAAGAGCACTAAAAAAGGGTGAAATGAGCACCAAATGAACAGAACAGTACAAAAGGTATCAATTAAGATTTAAACGAATTACGACTGCAGTTCATAGGTACTTAGCTATTAAATTGAGATAAGCTCTACTCATATTCATTAATCCAATGACAATTCATAAATAATCTAATTAAATGGAGTAATGATTTGTATATAAAAAAAGTGTAGAAAAAAATAAAAATTCCAGTAGCAAAAACATGTCAAGCAAACAATATCAAATTTTAAATATCGTCAATACACTCAACGAAGCTGATATTATTTTAAAGCAGCATAATGTATCAACTTCAACAGTGGACATCATTCGACGAGTTGGTTATTTGGTTGAAATCTTGCTGGCTTGTATGCGCACTTAATTCATGTACATGTCCAAGTGGGTTGAAATCTTATGTATGCAAATATTCAATTGGTTTGGGTATGCTTCTCAACAAATACGAAATTAATGATAAAACTCGCTTACAGGTTTTGGGTAAACGACGTGGCAAAGGCAGGTCGAAAAAAGTTCGAACTGCTCTGTTATCATAAAAATTTTTTTCATAATAATCATATTTACATAACATGCATTTATTACCTTTTTGTGTTCTTCATGTTGTTCTGTGTGATGACATTATTTATTTTCTTATTTCACATATAAACAAATTTGGTGCTCTTTTCACATATAATCAATTTTGGTGCTCATTTCACTCTTTATTTGATGCTCTTTCACATATACTTAATTTGGTGCTCATTTCACTCTTTATTTGGTGCTCTTTTCACATATACTTAATTTGGTGCTCATTTCACTCCATTTTTGGTGCTCAAAACACTCCCCACCCTTTAAATAAGAGGTATATTTGTTTTATTCCTTTCAATTGAGTGTCAGAAAAAAAAATTTGTAAAGGAATAAATGTCTGATACTGATAAAAATTATATTTTTTTAAACAGGCGACATCTGTTTTCTCTTGGTATGAGCAGATATAGAAACAGATATTGTTTGTCTTATTTGTCGATAACAATAATATAGAAAATGCTAACTTTTTACCTCTTATTTTTCTATATTACTGATATGACAAATCTTAAGTTTTATTTCTTATATTTCTATATTGGATATATAGAAAATCCTATTTTTTATTTTTCTATATTGGTTATATAGAAAATCTTAATTTTTATTTCTTATTCTTCTATATTGATGACATAGAAATAGTTAGTTTTGTGTCTTATTTGTCTTTAGTAGTAATATAAACATGCTGATTTTTACATCTTATTATTCTACATTGGTGATATGAGAATCTTATTTTTTTTTATTTTTCTACATTGGTAACAAAGATAACTATTTGTTTTATTTCTCATTTTTGCATATTGCTGATATAGAAAATATTTTTTATTTTTCAATTTTTCTATATTAATAGTATAGAAAATCTTAATTTGTATTTCTTATTTTTCTAAATTGATGATATAGAAACAGTTAGTTTTGTGTCTTATTCGTCTATAATAATAATAATATAGAAAATGCTAATTTATCTTTCTTATTTTTCTATATTAGTAGTACAAAAAGTCGCATTTTTTTTCTTACTTTTCCATATTAATAATACGGAAGATCATATTCTTTAGTTTTTTTGTTTTTTCTATATTGGTAATGTAGAAAATCTTAACTTTTATTTTTTATTTCTCTATGTTAACGGAATAGAGAGTAAAATTTTTTATGCATGAGTTTTTGTGACTATTATGCTATGAATTTTATTATGTAATGATAACTGCCGGTGTAGGCACCTATGCATCGGGTTCAGTAAGTAAAAAGATCTGGGCTATGTGAAGTTAAGTTGAACTATAGCTGCCAGGGAAGATAAAACACGACGAGAATGTATGTTTTTAAAGAAATCAGTTAAAACCTTACTGTACGATTTTTTTTATAATCATACAATATTTTAGTGTTGGAGCATCTAAGAAACTTGCTAGAAGAATTGACATCAGATTTCTGAGACGACAATTTTTCATATGATTTTTTGTATCATCTTGTATGAACATATACGATTTTTGAGTAACATCGAATAGGATCATACAAGAATTCATAACTGATCTTACTATGTGATTTTTCGAGCTGGGTATGGTCGACACATGTAACTCAACTTACGACTAACTTACGACCATATACAGTCGTATACTACACTCGTGCACGGCAGTCGTTTATTTCAACGTATACGTTGATTGTATTTGAACGTATGGCACCGTATACGTTCATCGTATACGATCGTCGTGTACGATGATCGTTTCTAGACGTATTTCGTCGTATACGATTGTTTACGATAGTGCTTTTTTGACCTGGGTTCATATTCTGACTTATTATATGGTTGAATTACCAAATATCTACATTAGAGTATATTATATGAAGTACTCATTGGCATGAATATTAGACTTTCATTGAAATATGAAGAGTAATAGTTTTTCTTTGTCAGCATATTAATTGTATCAAACTAAGTGTTAGCTCAGCATTATTATCTGAAAAAAATCTGCTAAGTCTTTATAAGTCTTGAAAAGAATGAATATATTTATAAATAATTCCTATTGATATGATATGATCGGATGAATTATTTACAAACAATCTTATATAATTAAGTCATTTTTGAACGCACTTATACTTCATCAACATTGTTTATCGTTATTCGATTTTGATTCATCTAGAATAATAAGAAACGAATATGAAAAAACATACTTTTATAAAACCCATCAGAAATCGAAAGACGTTCTTTTATAATAATAGAATAAATATCGACGAAGAATGATATTATCTAATTCGAGAGAGAGAAAGAGAATTCTTTCCTTATATATATCATTTCAAAAGATCTTTGTCTGTATTTAGCAATAAGATAACGACGTTTATTTCATATTCGAATAAATTATACATAAGATGTCGCCTGATGACTATAGATTTGTTCATTTGTAAAATATGAGATATTTTCCTTATTGGTCGATCAATTCACTTAAATAATAATATCAATTTCATTTATAGCAATCGCTCTCTATCTGCTAGATAACATAACAGTTTAATTCGATTATAATGAACAAAACAGAAATCCTATCTAATGAGATAACATCTCTTATATTAATTGAATGATTTTTATCTAAATTCTAAGAGTTTGTTAATATCGTTGTTTTTCATATTGAATATAAGTTAGGATAATATTGTTTTTATTGAATTTAATAAGATCTATCAATCAATATTGAAGACGTTTTTAAGATAATCTAACATTTTTAATATTAATCAAATTTATAATCGTTAAAATAAAAATAAAAATATAATTTAATGAATTGTTTTTCATGGAAGAGGTCTACTCACTCTCATAAGATAGTTGTTCAACATTAAATTAAACATAAAGATCTTATTTATTAAATAACATGATTAATATTTAAAGAGATAATACTATTTATTAAATAACTAACTATTCAAGAATATATTTAGATTTTAGAACTAATCTATTCTTATCAACATGTCTTTATTTTGTTTTGTTTAACGATTTATACACAAAAAAAAACTTCGTTCTATCTCCTTTAAGAATAAATGAGAGGCATTGAATAATTCTAGGTAGTTTAATTCTTCTTTAAGATTGAATATCAAGTAGATATTTTAATAAAATCATCTATTTTATACCGTAGATATTCATTAATATCATCTTGTTTATCTAAGATATTTATTTTCATAAAAACTATCTTAGATTCAACGTATTTTTACTAATATTGACAATTGAATAGTTTCAATATTTTTTCTATATGAACAATATGCATAAAAAACCTTTCGAAGTATCTATAGATAAATTAACTGAATAGATATGAAAGATTACGATCTATTGATTATATATGTTAGGAGAGTTTCCTTCGAAACTCTATTAAATGTTATTGTATGAGATAGAGACTTATCGGAGTTATAGCAATTTAATTTTTTTCTATCAATGGTCGTCAACTGGCATCAATACTAGGATATTTTATCAATAGATATTTTGTCTTCAAACATTATTGAATAATGATCTCTATTAGTGAATCAAAATTTCGTACATTTCTATATATGATATAGTATCATTTCATGGAGTTTCAGAGAAAATTTTCCAAACACATCATATGAAAATACTTAAGAATTTATTACTATTATACCTAAAATAATCTTTGAGCATTTCTCATTTGATATATTTCATTGACGACTAGTGTTTTTATTCTATATAATATCTTGAATTATATTCTAATAGATATAACTTCAAGGATGATTTAGTTAAAATAATAGGATATATAACTGTAGTAACTAGTTATGTATGCACGTGCTAACATAGGTATTTCCATTAAAAATAACGAAATTTTTTTCTATTTAACTCGGTGTGTTCATAGAAGATGAACTATTGATAAATTTCCAACGATCTTATTCTATCTCAAATATTTTTTACTTGTTAGATGTATTGATTATCGTGCTTTAATATACTATGTTTTGAAATTTAGCCAACGAATTAATAAACTATAAAAGATAATAGATTATGAATAAGTATATCAAATCATCAACATATATTATAAAAGAACTACAATAGTACTTTAATAGTCATCATGAAATATTCGAGAGACAGAGATAATTATTATTAAGAAAAAAAGATGAAAAATTCCTTTTTTTGTTTTTCTATGATGTCTCGAAATCTAATGGCAGGTTAAATGAAAACATTTTGTTTGCTAAATGATAATTGTCTTAGAGGATTTTCTCGTTTTTAATAGATATTATTTATAATCAGAAAAAGAAATGGTTTTTTTATGAAAAAAATAAACTCGTATTTCAAAATGTTTAGTAAATAAAATAATTTATTTTCTAATAAAAACAAACTAAATTAAGTTAGAGCTAAAATATTTATTTGATATCAACTTAAATTATCACTTTATTGAAGATTTTTTTTATTAATTATCTCATTTAATATTCTATTTAAATTCGATTTTGAAAAGACAACTATATATTGAATAAATTCAGTAGAATATAACAATAATAACAATATTCAAACTGACATAAGGTTAATAGTGGCGAAGCAAAAATCTTATTTACCATTGATAATGATAATGATTAGATATATATACATATATTTGCTGATAAGAACTGATTACACCTTTTGAACATATTTTCTATTGATAGTTTTCATTTTGTAAGTCGAACATTATCAATGATTTGTTTACTTCTCGATCAAACTTCTTATTAATCCATTAATTTGTAGAATATATTTTCGATAAATCGACTATATTCTGAAAGAGCACTAAATTCTGGTTGTAATTTATAGTTCTTGACTCGTTTAAAATTTTTTTAAACTAAGTAAAATATGAGCAAACATGTTAAAGAAAAACTTTAAATCCACTTTTTTGAAATTAATTTGTTAGTGTTTGTTCATTTTTGAATATGTGATATAGAATATATATACTTGTAGAAATTAAAATACAAGAGAATAAATTTGACAAATATCAATCATGTAGATTATTCGAATGTATTCTCAACAGTAGAATTTTTACAATTAGTCAGATATTCAGCACCATCGACAGAAAACTACCAACGATCAATAATATATTAAAAGAAATATTCGATTGAAAACGATATATAACTGGTAAAATTATTCAATCGTCAATTTTATTCGCCATTTACGCATCGATTTCATATCGTTTGTGTTTTTTAGTCAATACTAATGATAGTATAATACACATACAGATAAATTCAATCCTATGAAGGAGTCAACAGATTTCTATAAAAATCATGAAAATAGAAAAAAAAAACCAAACAAAAATTTTTATCGAAATGATAAATGATAAATTCGGAAGCACACGCTGTAGAAATTGAGAGAAAGTCGAATAAACAATCATCTAAATTATTAATCTGTCTCAGTCTGAATGAGCAAGAGTAATTCTATGAGGGGATCAGAAATAGCTTTCAATATACAAAATATACATTACTCAACGAGAAACTATTTCAGCGTCTGGCTCTACTAGAATTAAAAGGGATTTTATCGAAATAACAAAAAAAAAAAGAAGGAATTATAATAGTAGCGAGTTGACCACAGTAGAAAAGAAATCTTTTCGTATGATGTTGGGGAATCATCACTTATAAATGGAAAGTTTTCTCCTAAAATCAATCATGTATATTTAGAGATAAATGTTTTCAGATCAATACCGTTCATGTAAGTCGACTGATTCATGTAGCATGCTTCTCTTACCTACTCAATATGTCACAAATGAGATCTTCCGTCTCGACTTATACATATATATATAGGCCATGCAAAAAATTCTCGGACACTCAAAAATGGTTCCCCAAAATTTCGAGAGCATGGTAAATTTCGCTTTCCAGGAAATTCAAAAATAGCTACACCTCAATTGCAGGAGATTGCAACGAGCAGTATTAATGTGAATATGCCTAGAGATCATTTTCATATATAAAGGCAAATTTTATATTATGGATTGGGTTGCGTTGAGTTGTGCCGAGTTGAGATGGGTTAGGGTGAGTTGGGTCGGGTTGGGTTGAATCATAAAATAAGATCCATTATGGTCTGAGATATGTATAGAACAGAGGTTGAAGATTAATTTAGGTTTGAATTGGATAGGGTCGATTTAAGACATGATGAATTCAAATAGTATCTCCGAAAACTTCACTAAAATTCTGGAAACCTTTTGTAGGAGGCATATGACTCGTCCGTCTCGATATCCAATCAAAAGAATTACGGCTGTACTCAAATTAAAATCAAATAAAATCGAATTGCATTGAAAATCGACACAACTAATACATCTTTCATCGACTTCAAGAAATGAAAAATCGACTGTAGTCAAAGATAATCAGAAAACGCACAAATTCAACCGATTTCTATACATTTCAGTCATTTAAAATCGATAAAAATTAAAAGTGAATCGATGGTACTGCATTCCTGATAAACAAATTTTGATCTCTTCGAACCAAAAATATACGGGAAAAACAAATAATTTTCGCTGTATTTATTGGTTTCTATTAGAACCGAAATATATTATATGAAAAATCGATAAAACTTAAACGATTTTTCACCCCTTTTTAAAACCTTTTCATCTAATTGGAGGCATTTTACCCAAAGAGTGCGAGCAACAAAGCGACACACATCACAGCTCTCTCGATGTCGGAGCCTAGGAGCGACTCACATCACAATTCTCTCAATGTGGGTGCAAAGTAAATCTGATTGCTTATGAGTTGTAAGAGGGAAGCATTACATATATATAAATATACCTCCGATACATCCTACTAAAGGTTCCCCGGAAGTTGATCTAGTTTCCAGCGATATCGTTTGAACGGATCACTCCATCAAATGAGTGATATTGGACGAACTTTAAAACCAATAACAAAATAATATACTTAAACTATATATTGTAAAAGATATTTTACTAGTGCTAGAAACAATCTCTTTGTAAAATCACAGATTCAATTAACAGGCATATGACTTTGGCAGTAAATGCCTTAGTTGGATAATTTCATAGCATTTTATATTTTAACGTTGAGTTTTTTCTTTCTAATGAGGTAGCATGCTTCATCTAGAAGTAGTACCTGAAACAGCATGGCTCGTCCTTAATTATATTTGGTTTTTTACACTTACAAGATTATAAAATTTTCAAATATGCAGTCAACTATAGAATGTACATAATTAGTGACCTTATTCTGTGAATCAGTTAACATTTGAGACATAGGCTAGCATTTATTTGCATGATTCTTAACAGCAATCTAAATATAAAATGAATTGATATATAAAATGTGTTTATTTTCGCTTCAGCAGTGGCGCAGTTACGCACATGATTGTCTTGCATGACATTTTTACACTTTTTTCTCTTTTCCATGTAAGACAAACTCTTTGATCCTGGTATTTTGAACAATAGTTGACGACAATGAGTGAATAAAATGATCAATATTTCAGCTCAATCTGCCATATTTTAACAGAATTACACATCAAACAGTAAAAAATCTCTGGTAGGATTTAGTGTGACAACTAGTTATTCAATATTCATTTCATATTTTGTATCAAAAAAAAGTAAGGCATATTTAATATCGTGTTTAATCAATTTAATCTTCCATTTATTCGATCTTGTTCAACCTCAACCCGATGAATTTTAGATGTTTCGTTATATTTCAAAGTCCTTTTTAATCTAGCATGGCGGCTATTTCAGGATTGATATACATATAGTGGTATGAAAAAGTTTTTAGAGAAATGTTAATACCTTCCGTCTTTTTTTTTTTTTTTGGAGAGAGAGATAGATTTTTGAATTAAAGCAATTTTCTTATGTTTCATAATAGAATATTAGCAGCATTGTATTGAGAGATCTTTTTTTTTCTTATTTAGATTGAAAACGTCGCAGTGCATCTCTAGGTGCATTTGTTGCATCAACAAGTCCAATATTAACAAAATTCTATTTACTTGTTATTTATCAACGTACAACACAAGAACTTATGGATGGTTTAGCTGTTTCTATGAAAGGTATCAAAATGAAAAATTTCAATTAATAAACTTACTTATTAGTTTTATAATTATTTAGATGCATTAAAAGAGTATTATCAAAATAATTATTGTTTACCAGAAAAGAGTAACTTTTTAAATATGATTGTAATGAATAAAAAAATCAATATATATATATATATTTCTATTTTCTAAAATAACTTATTATCCATTACTGAATATGTGAATAAAATAGCCTAATTACAATCCAAATGATACCAAAAAAACTTTCTGATGAATGCTTTCACAAAAACTAATCTCATATATGAATCTGTGTGTTTTGAAATGCTAGAGAATCATCATGGCTCCTTAAGAAGCCTACCATTCCCAAAGGATTAATTAGTTGTTCTTTATCGATATGATGTTAGTGATGGTCAATTAGCAGTTGTTGCTGAATATGAATTACCACAAATAATCGAAACATTTCCAAAGATAAAGTCTGGTTATGAACCAAAACTAGCTGTCGTTATTGTAAAAAAACACGTGATAATGCTCGACTTTTTCAACAAGAAGGTCGTAATATAAAAAATCCTCAACCAGGGACTGTTATTGATCATATTGTTACAAGTGTAAATTATCAGAAAATTAAAAAAAAACGAATTTTATATTGATATTTCTTTTTTTAAGGCTGAATGGTATGATTTTTATTTAATCTGACAATGTTCTCGACAAGGAACAGTTGCACTAACACATTATTAATATGGTTAATTGTTTTGTTTTTGTTTTTTATTAATGAAAATAAAATATATTATTTAATAATGTTATTTTCGATCGAACAAATTTAAAAGTTAATCATATGGAGCGATTAACATATAAATTGTAAATATTGATTGATTGGTTTTTTTTTCCTAATGATTAAAATATTTTATTCTAGATGCCATTTGTATTACAATTGACCAGGAACAATTCGAGTAGCAGATGAAAAAATTTTTATATTTAATATATTAAAATCAATGTAAATATAATAATTTCTTTTATCTGTTTGTCAATATGCTCAGAAATTAGGATTTTTAGTTGGTCAAAGTCTTCATCAAGATTTTCGTGTGAGACTAGAAAATAAACTTTTTTATTTGTAACAATCTTATTTTTTGAAAAACAAAAACAAAAATGAGCTTCTTTTTTTATCGTTTAATTTATTATCGTTCAATATTCCAATGAATGTATTTCATTGCATTGTTTATTTTTGTCTGTCTTAACTAAATTGATAAAATAAGTTTTTCATCGTCCATTAATATTCATCCGGTGTACAGTTTAATTTCTTTTTTTGTTTTTCTAATTCTTCTAAAAGACAAAAAAGAAAAAGAAAATTCTTTGTCTATTATTTCATTGTAATAAGAATATAGAAAATAAAAATTTCTATAAAAAAATGATAATTTGATTACAATAAGAGAAAAATTATTTTTAGATGAAATGTATTTATTAAAGATAATTAATTGGACAATTAATTGACAGAAATATTCATTTATTATTGTGAGATCATGTTTACGAAGTCTTGAACAAATACGTTGGAAAATAACTGATATTTCACCAAAATAAAAACTATCAGTTGATCTTAGTAGAAAAGTAACACCAATCAAACAAACTAATCTTATGGAATTTTTCCATAGAACAGATAATTTATATCAATCAAATATTATTCATTGTACTATTTTTCTTTTAATTAAAATTAAAATTTTTATAGGACGTTGGTGGTATGTAGATGAATTACGTTTAAAAAGTAATGAAGACTTACATAAATAATGGTATTAAATTTAATTTAATCATAATAATTAATGTATGTTCTATTTAAAGAACTAGATCGTTTATTAACTATGAAAGAAGAATATCGATATGAACATGAATTATATATTAGTCCAGAAGGTATTAATAAAGTAAATAATTGATTATTTATTTGTTATTTTGCTTTGAAGAAATAAACCCCGTGTTACCTCGTCATAGGATGATTTCATAAGAGTCACCTTATTAAATAATCATCGGAATAGAATATTGATCTGTTCGATATATCTATCAAGCACACTCTTGTTTAGTCATTCTCGAGACCATTGAGAACGAATGACTTGACAAAAATTCTATCGTTTACTTAGTTCGACGAAAAGCCGTCATAGAGAGCTCGAAGATGTCTCATTTTTTAAATAATGGCTTGCTGTACCATATTGTGTGATGTGAAAAAACTTCATGTTCGAGTTGTAAGTGCTGAAAAACTAAAGTTTTGTTTTTCTGGAAAATTCGTAGTGATAATTGTGCATTTGACTATCTCTTTCGTTACCTAGCTTTTGTGAAACTTTCAAATGGTATACATACTAGTAGAATAGACATTATCATCGTTATATATCGCAGAATACATTTCCATTATATGTCGTTGTCTGTTGGTAGAAAAGAACATTTTATTTAAAAAAAAAGTCTAACTTTCGTAGTTTTTTAAACCGTTATTCATTTTGTAACTGATCTTTTGTTTTTTTTTGAAGATGAATCGATACGATACAAAATATTTTCTTATCAATTGATAGTTTATGAAATTCACTACAAGGCATATTTACAAAGTTTTTCAATTCTATGTTTTCTTTATTTTCTCTAATCGTTCTACGAATAGTCACTCGAATGACCAAGAGAGAATAAGTGGTTAAAAAAAAGAAATTTTCATTCTGATATTTAGATTGAAGAAAGTATAGGGAATATAATGTCGGTTATACGAGAACGTGATATTGCTTATAAACTATTATAAGAAGGCAAAACTGGTGAACAAACTCCTCAAATACAATATGGCTAATTAAAAATCTATTTATAGATTATTTTATGTTTTCGTGCTTTTTTAGTGAGACATGTTTTGGTCTTTTACGTATCAATGATTATCGGATAAACGTAAACCAGCTATATCTATCGTTTTATATTCATTGATTAAATTCTTCTTATGAATTATTTATTTATTTTTAGCCATGGACAAATATTTTTAAACGACGTTATAATCAATTTCAAGAACATCAAGAAACAAATCGTCTTAGAAAAATCGTTGCTAAGGTTTTAAAAAGATATCCACATTTACGTGATGATGAAGAACGTCTTTTGGAAGAATATTTAAAAACGTTATGATTTTGAATATTATCATATACAATAACGATTAGCACAACGATCAATATTACCTGCTCATCAAACTCGATGGAATGAACAAGATTTTATTGAAAAGTGCATATTAAATTATCCAAATCAGTGAAGATTTTCAACGTTTAACAACAAGAAAAAGTTATTTGAATGCGAAGAAAGAATAAATAAATAAATGAAATATTTTATTTTTTTGTTTCAAAGATAAATGCAGATATAAACTATTTCCTAGATTTTTTTTTTATTCACTCGCATTTATTTGAATTTCTTTAAAATGATATAGAACTATTCGAGATTGATTTACTCGATATATTCAATAAATTACAATTATTATATAAAAGAATTATTCCAATTACCAACATCGACCACATCCGTCTTCATAGGAAAACTCCCTATTCACTATCCATAGGATATCGTAGTCCATAGTCACCCACATCTGGATGTATTTTAGAGTTATATTCCAAGTGGACTACTAAAATCTCCACTGCGCATCCAAATCCTAATGGATCATATCCACCATGTCGACCACGAAAAAACTCATTACTAGTTCCATCCATTATTTAAATTGGAACTAAATAAAAAAACATATCGAGATATAAACAAACTGGAACTCTCAATGCCATACAGTGTGTCACTCGCCTTTACCTTCCCCCTCAAAAAACAAAAAAAAAAGTTCATTTTCATCAAAAACGTGAAAGCTTAGATAAATACATTGGAAGATAGTCCGAGGCCCGATCTTTCATCAGTGACATGATTTTTCATTTCGTATCTCATTTTTTTTTCCAAAAATTTTTCTCATTTCCTGCTTGAAAAATATAGTTTTTTTTCAGATAAAGTGGAAAATCTCTTTGGCTTTTTCTCTGTTTATTTGTTTTTTTGATCGCGCATCTCAGCGTTTTTGAAGAAACTCCGTTGTGATCAATGGCTTTTTTTTTGTTTGAAAGACCATGCCAAGATGCACATTGCCGGGGCAGAGTCTCCAATCGAGATATGGCAATAACCACCCGTTGCTCTATGGTGACCCGCCGATGGTTCTAGGAAAGCGTGCTTTGGCTATAAATATGCCACTAACAATATATTTAGGTGTAACAGTTGCCACCAATTGCCAGTTGGTGGCCCGCTAATGGAGATGCAGGGCATGATAGAGTCCATTTTCTGAATTAAGCTTTGTTACTATTATATAAAAGAATACTTTTATAATTAGAACGACATATTTTAAGAGTTTTTCCAGATATTGAACGTTTTCGTTCTCGTTCTTTCTCGTTAGAGAGTAAGAAAAAAAGGTCTGTCATATCCTACATCATAACATGCTCTTTCTAACAAAAACGAAAAAATAAATTTATAGAATGAAGGCCCACATAGAATTTTGGTTTGTCAAATGAACTATTTTTGACTCTTGTTAGTTGAATATCTCCCAAAAACATTATGGTATAAGGCTAAAAATTTTAGCGTAGCCTCTTCACTACAGCTTGAACATATCGTGAAAATTTCATGCGATTTCAATATCACTGAGGCAAGGTCGATTTTGTGAGGAGAAGACATAAGGCTTATAGACAAATGAAAGTATGAACTAGTTAATACTAGGATTTATATCTAGAAATATCCATAATCAAAACTTTTCTTTATAAGACATTCTATGAAGATCTTCTAAATAATGATTAGATTAATAATAAAAAGAATTGAAGTATTAATTATGTAATAACGTCTGGTGCGAAAGTTTCTGGACAAAATGTTTCTTCATTTTTGATCTACATG